TAAGTTCAAGAACCTCTGGTTGAGCCCCACTTCACTGCCATACCACAAAAAAAACCCTTTTTAATAATTGATGTAGCTCAATCCACAGGGTCATAATATGGTAAAAATGCAACAATATGTCAAAAGCATTTTTAAAACATGGACTAGCTATTAAAAACTAGTAGATTCGTCTGTCTTTAGGAACTCACTCTGTTAAAAGGTGAATGTGACAGCACAATATGGGCGAGGGTGGGTCATATCCCAGGATTAAGCCCAGCGTCAAAACACCTTTTTTGGTTCTTTGCATCAAGTTTTCATTCAGTAAGACGGCAACAGCAATCACTGGTGATGCTCAGCAACAGTTTGGCAGCGTCAACAAGGCAGCCATGTTGCTATAAGGCACAAAACCAGAGCTATGAATGACTGAGGTAAAAAGAAATATGACAAGATCAGACTTAATAAATAAGCTGATGATTAACACAAATGACATTCATTCAGTGTAGCAGACATCACAGTGTCTCATGAGTTGGTCACATCAAAGTTGTCCCTGCCTCTGAACACGATGAGTTAAAGGAGCTGATACTTGTAAGTAATTAGAGGTCATCTGTGATAAAACACATAATTACAAGACATTTACTATCCAGGAATTGCACTTCATTTTTAAGATAAAAACACAGCATTGCAATCTTGGGCTTTAAAAGAAAAACAAATCAAAAAAAGGTTTTCTGAATTTATTACACCTAATGAGGCGCCACAAAAACATTTTGCTGCATACTCATTTCCTTTATGGCCAATAAACCACCACCGGGAAGCCCATAGTCCCACATATAAGCTGCTTCAAGTTACACAGAGAACCTAGACTATTTAATAATTATTGTATATACACAAGAAAATGTTTTTTTTAAAATTATATCCCCTTTTTCTTACTTAGCTATATGTTTCATTTAAATATGTTTCTTAATTGGATCCAAATTTAATTTTGGAGCTTCGATATGTGCAATGAGACTGCATTGCATTATTGAGTTTGTATTCATAGAGATATACAAATCTTTTCAGCACCTCTTGAATGTTAGAAAATATCTATTTTTTCAGATTCTTCTATATTTTATTCATCTACTGTGTCATTTCTGGTTACCCTAGTATCTCCAAAACACCACTTTGATTGGAGTCAGTTAAAGTTAAAATGTGGCATGTAACATATTGAAACGAACCTCTACAAAAACAAACAAAAAAAAAACATTAGCAGTGAAAGGTAAATGGCCAACAGTTTCATGCTAGATGTGTTCTTAATATGTCAAGAAATATGTGTCCATTAATCACAGCATGCGCATACGATTGATGTCCGTGACAGGGATGCTGCTCGGATCAATGTGGGAGCTCCTGGGATTTGACCCTCCAACATTTGGATTCTGTTCTATTGCAGATGCAGCAAAGCAGCAGAAACAAACACGGGGCATGGTTACAGCAACTGAAAATGCAGTTATTTCTATAGAAAAATGGAAGAAATACTGTTCAAATAAATCTTATTTTGTGAAATGTATTTGCATGGGTTTGATACCATTAACATATAACAATTCAATGTAATATATTTTCCTGTTGCAAATAATCGTAGACTTTGAAAATAAACCATTCAAAGCTGTTTAAGACAATAAAAGCTTGTCTTAATAGAGTATAAGTGTTTGCTTGGATATAAACGAAACTGCCTTAAATTAAATAAATTACTGTTAAATCTGATAACGGGCATCATAGAAAGAGCAACACAAAAGTCAGCTTTTTATAATACATCCTAAGTTGTGACCCATTTATCCCATTCTAAATTAAAAACATGCATTATGTACATTATAAATACTATTTATAATTAAAAGAATATTCACAAGATGCCATTTTTCTTACTGAACATAGGCATAGTAGAGCAGCATAAGCAGAGGGTAAAATGGGCAATATTAACAGCAACCCCAGGAGCTCAACCACTAAAAGAATATTTCAATAAATTAAAGACAAAGTAAGTCTGTCCACTTTTTTCTCTTTCTGTGATCATCCTCTTAATGTAAAGCTAGGACAGATTCAAACACCTCCCCCTGCTGGATGGAAAGATGCAGTGCCGTCAGATATAAAGAGAGGCTTCAGGTGGTCCTACTGCCCAGACGCCCTGGCTGCTCTCTGCTGCTCCAACATGGCTCTGAGTGCAGGAGACATCATGGTGGGGGACATGGCTGGAGTGAAAGGTCGTAAAGGGTACTGGGCATTTTTGCCAGGGACATAAACGCACTGAAAGAATCTCTGTCCTGTGAAGACAAGATGAGATGGAAAGAGGTTGCTTACAATAAGATCTGTGGATAGATTTGTACTGTGCAATTATACGATTACATGGTGTGTTCAAACCACACATAAAGCAAAGTTTCCAGACCAGAAATAGAGGCCAAGCTGTCATCACTGTTCGTGGGCACTATATGATTTAAGTTCACTCTTATATAGGGACAGAACCAAAAAAAAGACTAACTGGTAAACTCCTAAAATCTGTTCTGGCGTTAGCACTAAGGCGTTAACATTTCTGGGTTACAAAATGGTCCAAAAAAACCCACTGATGTGATGCACAAGTTCACTTCACAATGGGTTTGAACACAGCCTTAGCCGTCTTGATTAGAAACACCCACACCCACCTATATCCTTCTCCATATACAAATATTAATATCGGCCACTGTCAATGAAATAAGAACCTGAATAAATTTCACCAAGTCTTACCAGGTCTTTTCTTTTCTGTAATATTTTCTTCTTTCTTGGGATCTTCTGCATGCAATAAAAATAAAACTTAATGAGAATATGAGATTGTGCTTCACACTGAGAGAGAAAGAAAACAGAGGATAAGTTTCTACATGCATGAAAAAAGAGAAAGGATAAAGACAGGCTGGGTTTCACTCTTTAAACACAGTGATGTTCTTTTGCTTGTTTCTGCTGCTTCAGTCTCTTGTTAAAGTCAAACTAAAATTAAAATTTAGTTGGAAAAGCGACCACTTATCGCCACTTGTCATTTGCAAATAAAAATACATTTAAATGTAATTTTTTCTGCAACAACCACATCACCCTGCATAATTGTTTAAACCTAATAAAAGCCACTCAGCAGGTGTTGAAATAACACGCCTCAAGAGTGGTGCTCAACAAAGAGTAGCCTTGTTGCTGCTGAGTGTTGTAAAGGGAAAGCACCTTCTCATTCCCAGGATACCAAACACTGCTGTCCGCAACAAACCACTGGCCTCTCCATAATCTACAGAGAGACTAGTCTGTCACCTGAATAGCCATTGATGGGCAATTGTAAAGCAACCATTGATGTTACATGTAACTAGATATGCAGCATGTGCAGGTTTAATTTTGTGATGAGGCTTTTCATAAACCTAACCAAAAGGAGTTTAGTGACTCAAACAAAGCAAAATAAAAAAGTGACTGAAGAGTAAGTAAATCATCAACTAAAAAACAAATAAAACAAATGTGATGGAAACCAAAGTTTATTGGCTGACGTACATCAGAGTTGTAGCTCTCTAAAAGGGGACCATTAACAGCATTTAACACCCTATAATAAGAATGAATTGCAGCAAGCTACACAGTAAACACATATATCAACATTGTATCTAGTTCATAGTGAACCACAGAACTTACAGACTGAAATCTCTTAGAAATGTGACGTGAAAGTCACCACTCAGAGACAGTGCACAGAAATAAAAACATTTGGCAAAGACAAGTCTATGAATACCTGGAAGGATATTTAACTCACATTTTGTTTACTCATGTTGTTGCTTTAATTGCTATTTATAAGGTTGTTTTTCTTCTTGCTTTACTGTTAGTTGATGTTTGCATTAGAGTATCATGACTTTGTTAAGTTGTATAGTTATATTTAGCTTAAACGTAACAATGTGTACGTGCATTTCCCTGCTAAATAAAATATAAGTAACTTAAATCAAATGAAATTAAATCCTCCAAAAGAGGTTGATTTCTTTTGGAATTCAGTCATGCATAAAACAAACCATACAACACAAATACCGGCTAGTATTGTCTGTATAAAACGATTCTGGTTTGCTTCTTTTAAGTGAAATAAAGAAACCAAAATCAAAGTAAACCTCTGAACTTCAGTCTGAACCAAAGAAACCAAACTACTTTTCATCACACCTGAAGAAACAGGCACTGCTGTGTCAGATGGTAGCAAAGTGTGAAGTTAAACAGGGCAGTGGGGGAGTGTTTGTAATCCACTGGATGATTCAATAGGAACGGAACACTAATAACCCAATTTAATGGGTTTTGGTTCATGGATTTAATCAATCCAGCTAAGTATAAAATTGTTGCCATATTCATCAAAGGCCATAATCTCTTTTAATAATTCAAGGCGGCTCAAAAGGCTTGTAATCTTGTCCCAATCAGCTCATCTCATTAAATTCTAATCACTTGTGATCCTAATGTCATTAAAGCCATCGTCCTTTCATACTGAATTATCCATTGGAAAGATGGTGAAAATTTACAGAATACCTCAGGCCTTACAGGAAGCTGTTTTCTCATTTTCTATTGACAACAAGCATATGATACACAACATGAATGACAGAAAACAAAACGATTCATAGCACCACTGTGTTTCTTCAAAATGTTTATCCAGTAATTCAAGAAGCTTTATCAGTTCAGCTAACTTCATATACTGTAGCTTACACTGATGCTTAAATTTAAAGGCATTATGAGGAAAACAATTCTGAGAGTTAATTTATACATTTGTCGATTTAGCTGTTGATCAGGATTGTGTGAGTGCATGTGCTGATGTACAGACTCTTTTTGTGAAGGGACAGCTTATTCTAATTTCTATCACCCTCCTGAACATTATCATGGCTGCATTATGCAAAATAGCTCCCAACAATCTTTGCTGCCAACAATAAAATTAGCAATCTAAACTCATTCTGCCAGATATGGCAACATGTTTTAGGTATCATCGTATGAGGGAAAAATATGCATATAGTAAAACAAGGAATTGAGATTGAAATACACTCCTGCTCCTTTTACCCAGAATTTCAAAAGTATACTGAAGAACAAAATGCTTTGATAGTAGAAAGCATTTTTCTAGTCTTTTATTTTTGTCTGCATTATTTTATTGTCACCAACCCCTGACATGGAACCATGTCTGCCTCTTCCTTACGAGAAGAGAAAAAGCAAAATCCCTGATGCATTCAGTCAGATTGACAAGCAAGATGACAGAGAGGACGGTGTTTACATTGCAGAAGTATTCATATTATTTTGTGCCTAGATGATGATAACTATCTGCCAGCTTTGAAAGAGCGCAGCTTCACATTTAGAACAAGCACAGCAAGGTCAGTATGGCTGATGAGGAGGACAATGGTGTCGATGCTACAGCTCCAAAACCACAATGTCTAGATTTTACCAAAAACTGTCAGTGTGAGGGAAATAAACAAGCTCGGCCCCTCTGAACAATATGATAAACTAAAACCAAAAACTAATTCTAAAGAACTCAAAAGTCTTAATTCCCACTAATGCTGTAACATAACAGATGACTTTTTTTTTAAATTTGAAATAAAACTGGATTCTAACAAGTTAACTTTAAATGTATCCCAATACTGACTATCAGGAAATGTTACTGATGTCAGATACCTTACTAGCTCAGAGGTCGTATCAGTAACCAAAAGAGAACCAGGAATGTTTAAGTCTTTAATCAGCAGCACTGATAAAGCCTCTTGAATGAAGCACACTCCATTGAAATTAAACTTCTGGAAACACAAATAATTCTAATAAGTGTCAATACTCTCTATGGAGACTAGAAATTATTTACCGTGCATATAGAAAACTTTCATGCTCGAGTACTTACCAGTTTTTGATGCTTGTTTCTCTTTTTCTAAAATTTGCAAGGGGAGAAAGGAGCAGCTGAGCCTTGTGAAATATACACAGCACTCATTAGATTCACTTCTAATTCGGCTCTAAAGCCATACCTTGAGTCTCTTTGACAGATTTCTTTTCAGCCTTCTCTGCTTGGCCTGTGAGAGGAGAGACAGCCCTATTACAGCCTGCCAAATAACTCTCTGTAATTGTGGTGTAAATTCAATATTCTTGCAATATTATTCCCTTCTCGGTGTAATACAGCTTGACATGTCTCTAATTAGAACTTTATCATGCATAAAACAGCCCATTTTATTCACATAATCTGCATCTCAGAAAGGGGCGATTTTCCCTGAAAAATGCCAGTAGAGAACATGAGCATGTTTCAAACACATCTAATTTACTGTAGATGATTTTACAAGAGTACAAACATACTGTATACGCTTGCACCTTCTCTTCCTGTGTTTCACTTGATCAGTTTAGCTTCTGAGAAACATGGATGGACGTGAATACTAACAGTGAATGTGAACATTAGACTCTTTCAGAATGAGGCATGACTTCATTTCCATCCTCTAATTAAAATACATTTTTCAGGGGTGTTTTACTCTCAGCATGAATTCCACCATAGTTAATTTGCCTTCCAATTTATCAAAAGAGTATACATTCAGACTGGCTATAAGACTTTGTGGTTCAAATTTAAAGAACACAACTTTTACAGAGCTGAAAATAAAGGAAAGAAAGACAGCTTGTTAGATTTTCCTGTTTTTAACAAGGTAACAAAGATGGCTTGAAACAGCTGAGAGCTACTTCAAGGATTTTTGTATGTATCTCAGTGGTCTCCAGAGACTAAAAGATGAAGCCTGCTGGCTTTTCAAATCCACTGTTTTTGTGGAACCAACAGTTTTGTGAAACCAAAAGGTCAAAGCCCTAAGTTTTCCACTAATTTTGGAAATGCTTCAAGAAAAGCACAAGGTAGACATATTTGTTTCTGAGAGCTGTCTCTTTTAGATCATCAGTTCAACTGAATGTTAATAAGAGCACCAAATACAAGCAACAATCATCTCAAGAAAATTACATTATTTATTTATTCATAAACATAAACTAAAAAATGTTTTGTTTTGTTGTTTTTTTTTATCAGAAGGACAAGTTTGCCCAGTTCTTTATTCTGTGGCTAAATAACTATAAATAATAATGATAAATAATCTAGTCTTAGCTGAATATACACAATGTGTTCTGTCATTCTGGCAGATTATGCACTAGCATTAGGACACTGGTACAGTGCAGTGCTAATATCGTACTCCAAGAAATAACAATCATATTTTAGACAGTTGTGAAGTTTACATCTGGAGATCAGAGTTGGCGGTGTAGTAAATCTGACCTGTAATGTTGAGTATTGAAAATTAATTTAAATTTGGGAGAGAGGGAGAAGGGATAGAAATGTTGTGCAGTCCCACAAGTGGGACACCTGGTCACTACTGGCATGTTAGCATACTAATGGGTTAAAAGGACTATTGTGCAGTCTCAAAGTGCTGCTAGCATGCTGTAAATAAGCTAAGCTTTGGGGAAAATTATTGCCACATTAAAATATAAACTTACTTTTCTTTGCTGCCAATAATTTTGATCTTGTCTTGGCTACAAAAACAAAAAAATAGTAAAGTTTTAGGAAAGCTAGATATTTTGGGGCCCTCATGAAAGAAACACAGACCTGGTTCAGATCTGGCAGGTTTCTCCTCGTGGGCCTCAGAGGTTACATTTGCCCTCCTGCCAATGTCAAGTCTCGGTCTCAGTCTGAGTGGCTGTGGACGTGGTTCTGGATCTGTTTGATAGGAATTTGAACCGAACCAAATCATCTTAATAAACAGAAATTATAATGCAGGGCTAAAGTTGATGATTAAAAACAGATCTTCATCCGAGAAGAAAATCTAATTTTCGTGAACTCATGCATGGTCTGACTTTTACCTGTCTTAGCTGTCGATGCCTTCACTTTGCTCCTGATAGGTGCCACTTTTGAGGGGAGCAGAAACAATTAGTTCCCAATCATCTTTCATGTCAGTGACATGAATTATGATTGGCTTTATGCAGATTAATGAATGTCAGTGAGTGCCGTCACCTGTCTTTTCAGAGGCTGATTTCCTCTTCTGTCGTTCAGCCGCAGGCTCTAACGTAATGAGGAAAAACTCATGATTAGCAGACTGAATAATTTGTTTTCTCAGTCAACTATTAACTTCTACTTCACATGAAAGAGAAATGTGTTGGACTGCATTTGATTTTTTTTAAATATTACAAATTTGACGAGATCCTAACGTCTAATCATGTTTACCTTTCTTAGGAGCTGCAGCAGTTTTTGTTTTATGTTTTGCAGATGGATCTATGCAAACAAATTGGAACAAAATACAACAGAATTAAATATATAATGTTTAATTTTCATCATTTATATGTCTTAATAACAACAATAAAGGATATTTTACCTTTTTTTGCCCCTGCATGAATTCTGATTTTCTCTTTTTTAGCAGCTGCCACTGAAGTAACAAACACATAATAAGAACATTACACTTTTAAAGGCAATCAAAATGCATTAGAAAGTATAGATCCATAGATACCAGATCACCTTTCTTTGCAGTGTCTGCTTTGGTTTTGTCTTTCAAAAAAGCAGCATCTAGTATTGAAAACATACATGAATTTATGGTATCCGAATCTTGGAAAAAGGTTTAAGTATATATGAATATTTACAACAAAGCACAGCTATAATTACTGTGTGTATCACTTCTAACAATGTGAAGTGTGTACCAGTGGAAACACCAAATTATCCAGCTGTATACATGAATTACCTTTCTTTGTTTTCCCTTTGGCTGCTCCTGGCTCTGAGGGGATAATTGCAGTGAAATGCCCATGCCAAGTTAATTTTCTTTAATTAATGCATTCATATAGCACACAGTGCCATTGTACATCACTGTTATGTGCTGCAGCTGTCGTTTGTTACAGTGAATATTCTAGTTAGCTGGCAGATTAAGTGTTTAGTGGATGTGGAGAGCGCTACAGTACCTTTGTCTGAATCAGCAGCCTTTGTTGTTGTTTGTTTTGCTGAAAATGACAAGACATTAATTGCTATCACTGATGTAACTGTGATAAACATAACTTTCCACAAGAGCTTAACTTCTTAGTTTGTACCTTTCTTTGTGGAGACAGCAATCACGTCCTCCTCAGCAGCCTCTGGTTCTTAAAGGGGAAACAGTTGTAGGTTTACTTTGTAGCATAATTTGAATTATATTAAAGTTTCACAGAAAAATGTAAGATTTTCAGGATAGTGTGTTTTTTTTCAAGTGAAATGTATTTATGCTTTTATGTATTCATTTATTTATCACACCTTATTCAAAATATTTACTTATCAACAACTCTATCACACTATATTTTTAAGCCTCATTGATTTATTTGATCAGAGTTTTGTGATTTTCCTCCCAAACCTGCGGAAGGTGAGTAGAAAAAAATCTGTATATTTAAATATTTTTAAATGAATACCTGGAAAACAAGTAAGAACAAGAAAACAGGAACAAGAAACAACCATTTCAAAAGAAGAAAGAAAATAAATAGACATATCCTTCTCACCTTGAACCGGAGCATCAGCAGGCTCAGCTTCAACAGCTGGAGTCGGGACCTCAGGTTGGGCAGGAGCTTTTACTTCTTCTGCAGCTTCTGGCTGTACAGGCTGGAGTGGCTGAACTGGATCTGGTGGAGGCGGCATCACAGGCTGAAGTGGTGGCTGATATGGTTGATACTGTGCGTACAGTGGATGCATTGGTGGTGGCGGAGGCTGTTGCTGATAAATGCCCTGTGTCTGTGGGGCTCCAGGATGGACAGGGTGGGCGGTCAGTACAGGAGCAGAGGAAGCTGAAAACAAAAACAAATACGCCTTTAACCTTACAGCAGAAGTCATTGAGCAACGGTGATTTAACAGTGACTGCAAATAGTACCAAAAAGTAAATACCTGACATGGTAGGAGGAGGGTAAGGATTGTCTGTGACTATGTGATGAACTGCAAGATAAAAAGCCAACTTTAAGCTGGTGCACAGTAAAGTCTTTAATTCAGCCTATACGACAACATTTCAGTGCACTGTGGAGATCCTTGTGCTTACCATACCATCCAGGTGGGGACGGGCAATAAACTGGTGCAGGTCTACAAGGCCCAACTGCAAAACATCAGTGCACATTTGCATTATTTATATAATCCAAAGCAACAGTTTACTGGAATAATACACAAACAAAGTCATATTCTTATTTTTATATTTTGGTATAAATGTTCTTTTAAATCAGGAGAAAAATATGAATGTTTTATACCTTCTTGTCCAGAGTCTGTGACCTGTTCTTGCTTTTTGGTCTTTGTCTCTGTGAATAAACAAGGTCACATTAAAAAAAAACAAACAGCAGTTTTATAAATACACTAACATAATTTGCTTTACTTTTGTGATACAGTGATCATGAATATGACATATTTGTGGGGAAGTAATTGCTTACTTGTTTTGGAAGCCTTGGGTTTATCTACTTTCTTGGCTTTTTAGAATTGAAAAAGGTACAAATATTTAAATTCGTAACGTATATGTGAAAAAGTAATTCTCTCCTGATTAACATTGAGACCAGTTTATGTAGTATTAAATCTTAGTACCTTTCAGAAAAGGAGGAAAACTTCGGATCTTTGCGATTTTCGGAGGCAGACCGACCATTCTGGGAAGAGCTGATTACGACATGACTGTGTTTATTACAATATCACAATAAAGGGAAACAATAATAAGCACATTATTTTAAAGATCAAATTCATATAAACATAACAATCAGTGCTACCTGTCTTTTTGGGCTTTTCAGCTGTCTTTAGAGTCTTTACAGTCCTCACAGTTTCCCGATCTTAAAATGAACATAAGGGATAAAAAAAAGCAAATTGATAAATTATCTCTGAATCAAAAAGCTTAATTAAAGTTACAACTTCATATCCAAGTGATGCAAATTATTCTAATTTTACAGGGTGAGATAATATTGTTCCCTGAATTATTCCCCTGTAGAGCTTATGGGAGGTTACTGTGAAACATAATAATGACTTAAACTTTGTCTCTTGGGAGTTTTGCAGGTAACGTCAGTGAGTATATCTAAATAAATAAATAAATAGGAACTTTTTATTTGTTTTTTTACCATTACCTTTTCTCCTTCTCACAGCAGAAACTCTCTTGGGAGCATCTGAAAATATAAACAAAGCTAAAGCTACAAACTGGAGGAGGAACACAGAGGTTTGTGAAGAGTTACGTACTTATGACACTGCATACAGCACACAACATGATGCATATCTGCATACATACTAGTACAGGTTTATGTTCCAGCATAATCGAATTTATAAACTACAGTTTAAAAATGTCGATTAAAGTGGAAGAATCAAACAAAAATGAGTATAATGTCTACCCTTTATTAAAATGCTTTTTTTGTATTGTTTAAATGACACAATGCAATAAGATGCGATATTATCATCACACCCTCCATCTAAATAATGTATTATTTATACAGTAGAGTTGTTTTTATGCACCTGACTGTGAGGTAAGAAAAACAAAGAGACTCCAGCTCAAATCTCATATGGGATCACTTTTAAGTTTTACATTGAGTTACTTTTTTTTATTTTCTTTGTCACACAAGGCTTTAAAAGCAAAAACAATCCACTTGGTTGATACACAGAGACTTAAATACATGATCTAAATGTTAAACATGTTTGGGTTCCAAGTTACACCCAGTTTCTTATGAGCACCATCACATATTCTACATTCTCTCTGTTGCACCATCTTTACATTAAAATTTAACTAGAGCTTGCACAAGGAACATATTTAGTTTTTATTGTGTGGCGAACAGTGATGGTGCATTATAATGCAATATGCTCTATAAATCCTCAACAGAAAAAAAACAAGTGTTTCACGTGTGTTGAATATGAACACTGAAATGATACATGGGATTCTTTCTGCTTTTAAGACTAAAAAATACAAAAAAACCCTCATAGTTTTGATTCTGTATGCATCTGAAACAGTTAGAAAACTCAATTTGTTTTTTTGGTGTCAAATTACTGAATGAAGTCTAGATACAATCCTGGTTTACCTCTACTTTTCTAAAGCTCAATGAGGATAAAACTGAGATCCTCCTTAATGGCACCAAATCCAACCTTTTGAAGGCAAACCATTTCTCACTCACCATCGATAACTCCACAGTTTTCCCTTCTCCTCAGGTTAAGAGCCTTGGTGTCATCCTAGACAGTTCACTTTCCTATAAATCTCACATCAATAATCTCACCCGTTCTGCCTACTTCCATCTACGTAACATTAACAGATTGCTTCCTTCTCTTTCCACCCAGTCTACGTCCATTCTTGTCCACAGTCTTGTTACCTCCCGTATTGACTACTACAATTCTCTTCTGCATGGTCTCCCCCAAAAATCCCTCCGTAAGCTTCAACTGGTTCAGAACTCTGCTGCTCGCATTATCACCAGAACCCCCTCCTACCAGCACATCACCCCTGTTCTTCAGGAACTTCACTGTCTCCCTGTGAAATTCTGGATAATATTCAAACTTCTTCTGCTCACCTTCAAGGCCATTCATAACCTTGCTCCTCCTTACCTTTCTGACCTGTTAACCACTACCTGTTCTGCCCGTTCACTTCGTTCTTCTTCTATCAGCTTGCTGTACCTTCCTTCTGCCTCACCACCATGGGAAGCAGAGCTTTCAGCTGCTCTGCTCCCAGAAATAAGAAACACTGGTTCTCTCCCACAGTTTAAATCCCAACTCAAAACTCATCTGTTCAAATCTGCATATTCACTGTGAATCCACTGTTTGTTAATTTTATCTTGTGCTTTTTTTTATTGTTCTTATTCTGCCATTGTTTTACTAAGTGTTTTATCCTATTGTAAAGTGTCCTTGGGTGACTTGAAAGGTGCTCATAAATAAAATTTATTATTATTATTATTATTATTATTATTATTATTAATAATAATAATAATAATAATAATAATAATAATAATGTAATGGCATAAGATAAAACATGTGCTAAATGTTTTCCCACCAGGTTTTTTTTTAATTATTGCCATATACTGTTATTAGATAATACAGTTTCCACCTCATTAAAATAGCTTATTTTATATGAAATACACTTCATCATTGATTTCACTTAAAAACCTTAGGTACTTTAAAAAAAACAGTACTTTAAATTCAACCACACAGTCTTTTACTGACACTGTGTTATAAGAAAAATGTACAGCAGACATTATGAAACCATCACAGACCTTTTGCCTTAGCAGTCTTAGTGGGAGACTCTTTGGCCTTTGCAGAGTGCATACAGGGACATACTGGAATCACAAAGCATAAAATTAATGTTACCCTGACAAACAAATATGACAAAGCATTTATAATTCTCCTCAGGTTCTGACCTGTGGGTTCTGTCTTTGGCGCTGCCTCCTCTGGTCCAGGAACAGGTTTGAACACATCCACTGATGCTTTCTCATCCTCATCTTCGTCTTCATCATACTCCTCTTTCTTGTCTTCTTGTTCATCTACAGATTTCTCAGGTTTAGAAACTGGCTCTTCATCTTTGCCCTCATCCTTCTCCTCCGGAGCTGCAGGCCGGGTGGTGCCTGTAAAAGCAGAAAGTGGCTCTATCATAGAATCATGTCACACAACAAGGAAAAAACGAAAGGATTTGAGGTTTTCTACTCTGTTAAGGGCAACAAAGCAATTAAAGAAATTTGAGCAGGATAGACTCTTGACTTTCAGGAACAATATGTGTGATGAAATAAAATAAGCTACAACTTACCACCTTCTACAGAGATTCCAATGACATTTCAGTGTTTTTGGTAAGCTGTAAATTGGCCTCTCAATCTTTCCACTCTTGCATATTTTTTAAGGAAGACAAGCACTGATAGTGTTGCCTGATTAGGGCAGAAATAAATGTACAACGGTAAAACATTTAAATAAAATAGATGCTTTTTACTGCCTACAAAAGGTATACTATTAACAATATTTTTAGAGGTAATTGCAAAAGAATTTGAAAAATTAATGAACAAAACTTCTTATAAATTTACTAGCCATATAACCTCAATATGACACACATAGCTTTAATGCTTTTGAATCCAGTTTATCTGATGTTTCTCTAAGTTTGACTGACCTGTAGGTGGCAGTGCGAAGTCACAGATTTCACAGTCACACATGACCAGTGTTGGGTAAGTTACTTTAAAATAGTAACTTAGTTACATTACTAGTTACTTCTATCAAAAGTAACTCAGTTACGTCAAGTTACTCGTTACTTTCAAAGTAACTAGTTACAAGGGAAAGTAACTTTGGTTTTACTCAGAATTCTCTTGTTAATGTGTTGCTTCCATAACTTTGCCAGTCTTCCAGCTTGCTTACTTGCCACAAGTGCACTGTGCCACCTACCAATAGAAAGGAAAAGATAATACATATTTCCACGAGAGAAATCCCACGCCTGGACCGTCATTGACTGCTGCCATAATTCTAGCCTACGTCACAGCATCATGTGCGCCTTTTACATCCAACACAAAAAACTGCAGTCGTGGTGCTTTGATTGTACTCAGAACTCGGAAATTCTGCCTTCTGAATAGGAAGATGTAGGTAACACCAGACTGCAGATGAGCTGCATACAGGGCTGGACGGGGACAAAAAATCGGCCCGGGCATTTTGACTAGAGACCGGCCGTTATAGCAAAAATCATAAAGCCTTTGAATGAAAACAAACGCTGTTGTGACAGTGATGTTCACTGTTTTGATGGTATATATGCATCAATCGTTTGTTGTAAGATTCAGATAATTATTTTTTAAAAGCTAGACATTTTAAATGAGAATAAGAAAGAAAAGTATTTCTTTGTGCCC